GCGCGGCAGCGGGCGGACCTGGCTGCCGCGGGCTGGGCCCGGCCCCGGCTCCTGCTGCTGCCGCCGCCGCTGCCGCCCCCCCCCCGGAGGCTGGCGTGCGCGCGGCGGCAGGCGGCGGTGGCGCCGCGGACCTGGCTGCCGCCGCCCGCGGCGGGCCGCCTGGCCTGGGCCCGCTCCCAGCTGCTGCTGCTGCTGCCGCCGCCGCCGCCACCCCCCCCTTGGAGGCCGGCGTGCGCGCGGCGGCGGGCGGCGGTGGCGCCGCGGACCTGGCTGCCGCTGCCCGCGGCGGGCCGTCTGGCCTGGGCCCGTCCCTGGCCGCTGTCGCCGCCGCCGCCGCCGCCGCCTCCCGCCCGGAGGCTGGCGTGCGCGCGGCGGCGGGCGGCGGTGGCGCCGCGTGCCTGGCTGCCGCCTCCCGCGGCGGGCCGCCCGGCCTGGGCCTGCCCCTGGCTGATGCTGCTGCCGCCGCCGCCGCCTCCCACCCCCCAGAGGACGGCGTGCGCGCGGCGGCGGCTAGCGCGTGCGGCGCCGGCGCATGACGACCAGCTCGAGCGCGGCCAGCAGCGCAGCCGCTTCTTCCACCACCTGGACTTCCAGTGCTTCGTTGCCTGGCGCACTCAGACGACCAGCAGTGCGACCTCGGGCAGCACGGCCGCGACCAGTACGGTCTCGTGCTGTGTGACTTCTACGGCCACCTCCGCGGTGGGCTCCCAGTTTGTTGCTGTGTGAGCGCGGTCGAGACGTGCTGCCGTGTCGACCTCGCGCCCTGGGGCCCTCTCGTCGCCCCGGCCGGATCTTCGTCGAAATTCTGGTCGACATTCTAGACCGCGGTCACTTCGACCTTCCCAGGGCTGTTTGCCGCCCCCCAGCTGGGTCTAGATCGGATCGGGTCCTTTCTGCCGACGTTCTCGCCCAGACAGGCGACGCCATTTCCTAACTTCCCAAGGCTGTTAGCCGCGCCCCAACCGTGCATCGGCAGGTCCAGCAGGCGGCAGACCGCCGAGAGGAGTTGGGGTCCCCTCCAGGCCCCCCCCTGCCTCTGGAGGTCCCCATCCAAGGGCTCCGCTCCCTTGTGCGGGCCCCCCTGGAGCTCCTGCCCCCCCCCCCCCCCCCTGCAGGCCCCTAACCGACGTGGTCGGCCCCCGAGTGGGAGTCCGATCGAGCTGACAGAGGCGTTCTCAACCATCCTGCGGCTGTTAGCCGCCCCCCAGCAGGGCCGTCTTCTTATTACCTCCGCGGCTGTTAGCCGCCCCCCTCTCAAGTGGCTGACTTTGCCGCGTCCACTAGGGGCGCTGACTCATGCGTGATTATTATCTTCGCGGCTGTTAGCCGCCCCCCCGCTCGGTGTGCATGATTGTTTCGACGGCGTGCCGACGCTCCCCCCGGGGCGTCGTGGTGAGCTGACTCTGGGCAACCGGTTTGGCTGTGCTTGCTCTGCGGCTGTTAGTTGCGACCCCGCCCCAATAGTGCGCCCATATCCCGCGGCTGTTAGCTGCGACCCCACTCGCTCACCACCTGTTTCTGCGGCTGATAGCTGCCCCCCCCGCAGCGCGCCGCAGGCCCTCCGCGCCCGCCCCGGGGCGCGCGGGCCTGTGGGCCCTTCGTTCTACGTCGGGAGTCCCGCGACGGTCCTGATGGACGGGCTGGGTTGGCAGCCTTCGATTCTTCTGGTCGGCTCTCGCGACAGGAGCTTTCGTGCCCTTCCTGGCCGTATTCCTCGTTGGCTCGATCTGGCGGTCGGGATAATGGGACGCAGGGTCACGGTCGCGTGTATTCCACGCTCGTCCAATTGGCGGTTCACGCCGTCCGGCTCGCGGCATTTGATTGACGCCATTCGCAGGTCGCATGCGGTTACATCTTGCTGGGCACGTACTTCGAGGACGCTCTGAGCTGCGCTGCGTTGGTCGCCTGGCCTCTTCTCGCCCCGTCGTCGTCCGCGCTCTTTTCCCCCTGTTCTATCCTCCTCCACGCTTGCCTGCTGTGGTTTAGGCTCTCGCCCTGCACGTAGGCCTGGCTTCATTGACTGTCGACGCCGCGCGACTGTTCGCTAGCGGTAGGTTAACAAACAAAGTATCCTCAGCAGCCGCTTCTTTTGCGCTGATTTAGGCCGTTGCTTGTTCGCAGTGCCCTGGCGCCGCCCGACCTGTTCCTTGCCACGGTCGCGATCAAAAAACCCCCAGCAACCTATCATAAATTAGCCACCAGGCGAGTTGAAGTGATGAATGATGTGTAGCAGCATGCAATCCAGGAGTGAGCCACTCCCGTCTTCGCGAAGTTTTCGGCGAAAAAGCATTCATGATTTGGAAGATGCGGATGAGGAGGAGGCAGACAGAGGAGGCATAATGCTGAAGAGAAAAGGGCGGAGAAGGAGGAGTCGCCAGGAGGAAGTAGGATGGGCACTGCTGTTCCGAGCGGGCCACTGGTGCGCCAGCGGCTCTGGTGAGCGAGAAGGTAGGAGGACGCAGGAGGAGGTATGAGGATGGAGGAAGTTGGAGGAACAGGAACAGGAGGTATGAGGAGGGAAGATGAGGTAGGAAGGGGGCAGGAAAGACTTAGAAGACAAGGGGAGACAGGAGGACAACGGAGGAAACCACCACGGTGTCAGCATCCTTGAACGACGACGAGGAAGATGAGGACGACGACAGCAGTCATCCATGACAACTTTTGCATGTCTTTTGCTCTAGAGCCTGTTGGAGGCCTCGTAGAATCATCTTAGAGCTCTATTGGGGGAAGCGGGGAGCCTTGGAGGCCTTCGTGGGGCCCACTTGGGGGTATTTTGCTGCCCTTTTGGGGCCCTCATGGGTGCCTCTTGGAGCCCTCTTGGGGGCCTTGGGGGGGCCTTTGGGGGGGCACATTGGGTGCCATCGATGAAAGCCAGGAGGGTATGCATTCCCTCGGAGCCCCAACATCGCATCTTGGAGCTCTCTTGGGGCGCTCTCGGCTGCTTTTGGGGTCGTCTTGGGGCCCTTCTAGGTTTTTTTTTGGAGCTCTCATGGTCCATACCGCAGCCATCTTCATGCCTCCAAAGCCGATCGGACGAAAATATTTCAATACTGTGGGACACACTGATGTTCTGACGGATTTTGGCCTCTCAGAGTTTTTTCTTGAACCATCTTGGGACATGTTCAGCGACCTTGGAGGCCATCTTGTGCTGTCTGGAACCCTCTTGGCGCCATCTTGAGTCGAACGCCCGCTCCAGATCCAGGAGGAGGGGGTAGGAGGGGGGGAACCCCGCTCACTGGAGGGGACGAATGGGGTTCGCATATCGATCCCGCTAGACCACTGACGCCCAGAGGGCTGGTGGGATTGTAAGGCTGTTGTTGCAACTGTGGAGCCTCCTCCAACCATGTTCATTTAGCGCATGGTTAAACTTCTCGTGGTGGAGTCTCAATCGAGAGGCCCTTTCTGAAACAAATCAGCCGCTCTTCAACCTTGTAGCTTTCGGACATGCGTAACGCGGGCATACGCAGCGCTCAGAGGTGATAGTCGCATGCTGAACCCCACTTTTTTTTTTGTTCCTCCTCTCTCCCCAACGCATAACTCACGCGTTTTTTTTTGGTGCGCGACACGAAGGCGACAGCCACATTACACGATTCGTCCTCCATCCATGTAGCGGTTGGAAGCTGCAAACGTCGGGGCCATACTGGGTGAGGGGGTCTTAGACGAAACACTCGGCCCGCCGTACTGACACGTCTGGTGGTGCGACGAGGAGGAGCTGTTTTCTACAAGAAGGGGGCTGGCTGAGGAGGGGGAGGAGCAGGAGATGGAAGGGTCTGATGTGGGCGGGTGGTGAGCAGGGGACGGAGGCTGAGGATGATGAGGAGGAGGAGTACCTTCTGTGCTTCAGTGGCTGACAGTGCCCGCCCTGACCGATCGTGTTTGCCCAGGGGATTGGCGCCTGAGCACAGGGAAGGACTAGGAGACATGAATGCTTGCCCCCTTGGCTGGCGACGTGGTACAGGGGCCAGTTGGATGGACATATCCTTCTCAAAAACAGCCCTGCTCCCAACAATCACCAGGAAGGCTGTGCCAAGCTTTTTAGCCTCGGAGAGGATTTCTAGGAGGTGGCGCTTTCTCAGAAAGGTGGGCCCATCAAGGCAGCTATTTTTCGGGCCACCACATAGGGCGCAGTGAGACTTCGACATGAGGCAGTCCCACGTGAAGTGGGCCGCCCAGCGCGTGCCCCTGGGCTTTCCGTTCGAGTCGTTGCGCACAGCCATTTCGGAAGTTGAGTTGGCTCGGAAGTGCAGGAGTGACACATCTGAGGGAAGCCGAAGCCGAAGGCTTTGGCCACACGAAAACGGCGATCCGGCAGTCGCCGCTGCAGTGCTGCAGCGTTCCGGCCAGGTGCGCACAGCCATTTGTGGGATTCTTGACCGCTCCTCTCAGATGTCGGGCTCGGCTCGAGCGGGGGTGCGCCGAACCCGCCGTCCCTGCCCGCGTCCTCTCCTGCCTCCGCCGCCGCGGCTCTGCCTTCAGTTGGGCAAGGCCCCCGTCGGCGCGAGTGCGCGCAGGTGGAGGCCGGAGGGAGGGCTAAAACGACGCGAAGATCGGGACAACATCGGATCGGGATAACTCGAAGTCTCTGAGAGTCGGCGGGTTTGGAGGACGTATTGGGCGCCGCGGCCGCTCCAGAGCGTTCCGGAACGCTTTGAGAGCGCTCCGGAACGCTCTGGAGCGATTTATCCCGATCCTAGCCCTGTTTTAAGGGCGGGAGAGCAGCAGGCCGGGACGGAGGCCGCAAACATGGATGAGAAGCGTGTGAGTGTGCGGCAGGTCCCGTTCCCATACCAGTGCGGCGAGTTCCGTCGCCAGATCGAGCCACATCGGCGCCATGTTCCGGGGGGCACGTTCACCGATCCATGGGTCTGGCACCCGCGTGCCAGACCCACGGGTCCGTAATCCTGGTTGGCGTGTGCCCGAGGGGATGGGAGCGTGGGAGAGGCCGAGAGGGAAGCGGCGTGGGAGGCCTGCCGCAGCGGGGGAGCGGGCCCTCACTCGAGGTCATTCGCAGTGCCGCTCCTGCGGTGCGCACGGTCGTGCCAGCGCCGGCCAGTCCGCCGTTGAGCGGCTCCCAGGCGTCCTCCCCGAGTGCCTGCCGCCACGTCTACCGTGCCAGCCGCCGCCTTGCTGAAACCTGACTGGTCGTGTGTGTGTGTGTACCTCGCTACTGCTTCAGCTTGGCACTGTCGCACTGCTTCGTCTTCCCCCTGCGCTCCCCTCATGGATTGCTTCGTCTTCCCCTGTCTGTCGCACTGCTTCGTCTTTCCCCTGTCTGCTCCCTCACGGATTGCTGTCGATCCCTTAGGGATGGACCCAGCTTCTCGTCGCTGCGTGAGCCGGGTCGATGCGCGCAATCGCTTTACCTGTTCTACGCCGCGCCGCCGCGCGCGTGACCAGGACGCCAACATGTGTGTATCTATATAGATATAAAGATATGTTTCTGTTTGTGCGTGTGTGTGTGTGTGTGTGTCTGTGTGTGTCCCATGCCCAGATGGCCGATGCCGGTAGGTTTGCATCCTAATCGATGGTTGAGGGCATGGCTGTCGCGCGCACTGTTACGCTCTCTCTGCCCCGGCGCTGCGCGCGAGGCCGATACCGCCAAAAGTGTGTGTGTGTGTGTTTGTGTGTGTGTGTGTGTTTGCGTGTGTGTGTGTGTGTGTGTGTGTGTGTGTAACACCTCTCCTGTATCCCGCGTTTGCCCTTGCTGTGTTGGACCAGCTGGTCGCGAAGCTAAAAGTGCGTGCAGCACTTCGCTTAACGGCGCAGCCATGTTTTCTGCAGTACGCCGTCTCGCCTAGTGCAGTCCACCATATGTGCAGATAGCGTCAGGGGGAATTGGGGATGAACGCACCCCGCTCTAGCCCGCGCTGCAGTGACGCCGCTCGGCCGCTGGGGAGTACAGAGTGTGCAGCACCTTATGTCCCTCATCCTGTACCCCCCTCCAGTCGCTCCACCTTTCGTCCCCCGCTTTCTTGGCTGTTCCTCAGGAGGGAAAGCACACTGACACAAATAATCGTCGATTTCAAGGAAACTGTGGAACATATGGGAAGTGTGAGGGAAGACAGAAGTCCAGGAAATATGGAAAAACATTGGGAATCCTGGGATTTGTGTCTATTTGTTTGTGTGTCTCTGGGCCCCCTCACTCTCGTCCCCCGTCCTCTTGGTTGTTCCCCTCGAGACCCCCGTGCCGCGTGGTTCCCTGTGAGTGAGCGCTGCGCGTCCTTCTGAGGCGCCCGAGTGCCCGGCCTCGGCGGCCGCCTTGTGCTTTCGGCCCTTCCGTCCGTGCAACTGCCGCCTCGCTGCGCGCGTGGCCGCGACGCCAAAAGTTGGCGGCGCGCAGGGGGGTGATAGGGGGAGGAGGAGGCTTCGTAGAAGGAGGCTGCTTCTTAGAAGACGCCGGCCCTACATTCGGCGATAAAAACCCGCGCCTTCTAAGGAGCGGGGGTGTTTCTAAGAAGCCTCCCCCCTCCCCCTACCCCCCTATGCGCGCCGCCACAGAAGTGTTTGTGTGAGTGTGTGTGTGTGTGTATCTTCCAGACTCCCATCTGCATCGCCAGGTGGTATTGAACAGAGCGCGCCCCGTCTTAGCATTTGTTCTGGTGCTGTCCCGCTCGCGGTCTAGTGTATTTCTACATGCGTCTGCTTTCATTCCGACTTTCCACGTGTAGCGTCAGGTGGTAGTTGAACTAAGCGCGCCCTGCCTTAGTGTTCGCTGTGGTACGGTGCTGCCACATGTCCGCGGGAATATTTGCTTCTACATGTAAATGCATACGTGTTTATGTATGCAATATTACAGGTGTATGTGCGTGTATGTGTATATATATATATATATATATATATCTGTATACATAGATGTATCTATATTTGTGTGTGTATGTGTGTGCAGTGCCCACGAACTGCCTTGCTTCTTCTCCGTGGTCTTCTACCGTTGCAGCCCGCTCCAGTGCGCCACGCATTTGAGCCTCGGCCAGCCGCTGTTTCGCACTGCCCTTTGCTTGTCTGCGCGGTCCTCCTCACCACTCGTCGACTTCCCCCTCTTTTCCCTCCGTTTTTTCGCTTTCCCGCGCCCCTCGCGAATGCCCAGTCGCGAGTGCTTCCGTCTGATCCCCTCATGTGTGGATCCATGCTCCGTGGGCTGGCCCAGCCCGCGCGCCCTTCCCTGCTCGATCTCCACTGCGCCGCACCGCCGCGCACGTGGCTGCGACGCCAAGCAAACGTGTGTAGGTATGTATTAGGTGTGTATCTATAGCCATATTATATGTATGCATGTATGCGTGCATGTATGTATGCATGTATGCACGTATATATGCATGTATGGATGTGTGTGTGTGTGTATGTCTGTATGTATTTATGTATGCATGTACGTACGCGCGTACGTACGTACGTATATGTACACATGTATATGTGTATGTATGTATGTTTGTATGAATATGTGTATGTGTAGATGTATGCTTATGCGTATATGTATATGTATATGTATATGTATATGTATATGCATATGCATATGTATACGTCTAGATATGTGTACATGTACGTGTACATGTACATGTACATGTATATGTATACGTATATATATACATATGTATATGTATATATGAATGTGTATAGGCGTTCGTATATGTATATGTGTGTACATATACGCAGATGTGTATGTATATGTTTATGTATATGTATATGTATACGTGTATGTATATGTATGTGTATGTATATATATATATATATATGCGTATTTACGTATGTACATGTATACGTATGTGTATAGGTATATGAATATGTGTATGTTTATGTATATGTACATGTATATGCACACATGCATAGGCATATGTACATATGCACATAGTTGTATATTTGTATAGATGTATATATGTATATGTGTATATATGTATATATGTATAAATGTACATTTTTATATATATATATATTTATATTCATGCCATATGCATCTATGTATATATGCCCATATGTATATATGTATATATATGTGTGTACGTGTACGTGTGTAGGAATATGCATATTCACATGCACATGTATACGTATAACATATGTATATGTACATGTCTATGTATATGTATAGGTATGTTTATATCTCTCTCTATATATGTCTATGCATGCTTGCTCTTTCTCTTTTCTCGCCTCCTGTCTCTGCGGCCGCCTCCCGTCTTTCCCCCTCTTCTTGCATGCCGGACAATCGCAATTGCGTGGCCCAGGTTGCTTGGATCTGCGAGTGGATTGCTTCTGCTGCGCTGAGACGGAACAAATGTATGCTTGCTCTTTCACGTGGACCTTTCGGCGTCGACGGACAGTTCGACTGACGCGTACAGTTCTTCGTCCGATTCTTGTGGAGTTATACGAGTGCATTTCGCATACCGCATGCCCTGCACGGCGGGTCAAGAACGCGTGGCGACGCAGATCTACCGCCGCCTCGTGGGCACGCGGACCTTGAAGCGTCTTGATTTCCCGCAGTTCCCATGCCTCATTGTTCCTCTGTACATTTTCCGCTGCGTGCTTCGTCGTTTGTTTCGGTCCGGATTGGCTTCCCCATCGCGGCGGCCCATTTATGAACAGGTGCTTTGTTTTGGCTTGTCGACGCAGCGGGTCCGCCTACCGCTGAGACGAATCGACCCGCTGGCCGACCAGTTTGCGACGGACCACCCATTCCACCTCTGTTCAACCGCGTCTGTAAAGGCCCCAATGAACAGCCTCTGTGTCTTTGAAAGAGTCCCCGCGCCCATCCCCAGAAATCCGTAGGGCGCCCGCGGCGAAAAACAGCTGCGGGAATTTTGATTCCGCCGCGGGGGGAGTGAACGTCGGCGCTTCGATGTGCGTGGCGCAGATCGCACGAGAGTTACTCACGCCTGAACGAGCTTGCGTTGCTTAGGGCAGGTCGCTGGGGCAATTTGCCGACGCCGCTTTCTTGGGCCGTCTTGGGGCACTCTCTTGGGCGTCTCAGGGGCCGTGTTGGAAGCCTCTTTGGCCGTCTTGGAAGCCTCTTGGGCCGTGTTGGGCGTCTCTTGGGGCGTCTTGGAAGCCTCTTAGAGTCTGGAGCTGGGCCCCTCTTCGAGCCGTCTTCGGCGCCTCTTGGGCCGTCTTGAGCGTCTCTTTGACCTGGCGCTGGGAACCTCTTCGAGCCGTCTTGGGCGTCTCTTGGGCCGTCTTGGAAGCCTCCAGGGCCGTCTTGGGGACTTCGCGGGCCATCTTGGGGCCCTCTTGGAGCCGTCTTGGGTATATCTTGGGCCATCTTGGAAGCCTTTTGGGCCTTCATGGGCGTCTCTTGGGCAGTCTTGGAAGCCTCCTAGAGCCTGGCGCTGGGCCCCTCTTAGAGCCTTTTTGGCCGTCTTGGGCGTCTCTTTGACCTGGCGCTGGGCTCCTGTCAGAGCCGTCTGGTGTATGCTGTGGCCCTCTTGGGCTGCTTGGGGTACTGCCGAAGTGTGGAACCCGATCAGCAGTGGACGAAAGTGCGCGTCACCCTGCACGGCAGGATCTTCCAAGAAAGAACAGTCCATGACACAGAAATTATACGACGTGACGACGGCGGGGCTCGTCGAATGTCGGTGGCGATGGCGGTGGTAATGTTATTGATGGACACTGCATGCGCCGCGTCATGGGCGGTTCACCCCCTTCCCCCTCAACGACCGGACGGCCCAGGTAGCCAGGGCACGCCAGGGTTTTGAAAAAAAAGTCGTTTGCGTCAGTTCACTTTTTTTTCAAAACTATCGTTGGGAGTGGCGTTTTCTGCGAAAATGCGAAAAAGGCCCCCAAGGAGCCCCCACAGGCCCCCAAGAGGCCCCAGGAGGCCCCCAAGAGGCCTCCGAAAAGCTCCCAGAAGCTCCTCCTCTTCCTCCTCGTCGTTTCTCCCTGGTTCCGCTTCCCCCTCTCCTCCTTTTGATCCTCCCCTGGTTCGTCCACCATCCTCTTCCTTCTCCTCTTAGGGTATATGAGCCCTTCCGTAATCCTTTGATCCATTACATGCTCCTCCACAGCCGTCACCGGGGCATGTACTGCGGGCGTCGTTTCAGGATGAGCCGGTGGGGATACGCGAAGCGTCCATCATGTAGACGACAGGCCAGAGCAGAGG